AGGTTTTGTTGTGAACATTTGAATCTCATTAAAATCTATTCATGTCAAATGCAACGACTACTTTTGTCAAAAGATATTATTTGTTAAAAGAGACTAAATCTTTTGACTTTATATTATTTTTAATTATTATTATTATATTTTATTTTGAGTTTACTTTGTTACGCTATGCTCATTTTTAGTTGGCCTTGTTCTTCGACTTGTTGGAGGAGAACCACTTCTTGGTCTTCCCGCCCTGGTACATTTTCCAATGTACACAGATGGGATTCAATATTTTCCATTTAAAAGCATAGCAATGTTGGCATCATTATTTACCATATTAGGAGTGAGTTCATCAAGTTTAACCTTTAAAAGCATTTCCTAAATAACCCAAAAGCCAATTTTCAGGTATCTCGTCTTAGCGAACACTTGTTTAAGGCGGGTCACTTGTCGCCTGAACTTGATGTACTTGGATGTGTTGTAGTTCCACCAGAGAGAATTCCACTACCATCGGATGTATCATTCAATGTTAGCAGCGACACCTTAGCTATGAACAAAGTATGTTGAACATAATCTGTATGTCAACAATAGCAGTGCAACCATCAATTCTAGGCAAATGGGAATGGCACGAACAACGCTACATTTACGGAAACTTCATTTCTTCATCCTAGCTATGCAGACCAAAATTATCTGTCGACCAACTCTCGCTAGAGCATCTCTGAACTTTTCAAGAATCTCATTGCAATATGGATGATTTACAATCAGACTTCTATCACATTGTATTAGTGTATCGCTATAGGATAGGATATATATCTTAGATCCGCGATTCGAAATTGTTGCAATAGAGTAGAAGTAGGATGCCTAATACGTGTAGACCATTCTCCGTATCTCGTTTGTGATTAATGAATAATGATGCTACCACTCTGCGGAAAGCAAATGGATGAGCCATATATAGGGATTATTGCAGCTTCAATACTTATTTGCTCTGTCACTCAGCGAAACTTTATGATTAAGATTTGGTGCACAGAGTGATAGTAACTTGGCTGAAATTCAGTGAGCCTTAGTTTTGGCTGTGAGAAGGAGAGGTTACCTGTGACAGCACGTACGAGTTTGATTCTGTTAGTTTATCTCAACTGACACAAAGGTAAAGAATCTAAGGAGCTAAACATTTGGTATGTAACAACTTTTAGATCGAAATAATAACACTAATATTGTAATACAAAATATTCCTAGAACTTCGATAAATTGCACTTGGACATTGACGAACAACCAAGAATGGTGAGGGACTTTGCGAGCGTTCAAACTACTAATAATTAAGAATCACAACCGTCTTTTAATAAACTCGCCTAGCGCAAAAGTATTCACAATAGCTATCTTTGCAAAATTATGGATGAAGACTCTTATTGCTTTTGCTGTATGGCTCAAGCGGGTGCGAATGACGTTTCTCTTTGTTTTTGCTTTGTAATGCATAGGAGATATATTCAAATCAGGAGCGAAGAGTTCTCTCAGCAAGTTCCATTCTCTGGCGACCTTGTTTGCCGCTTTTCCAAAACTTCTGGCCCACCTTCCTGGTTTTGATTCAAGCAGCTGCCCTTCTGGTCTTCGGTTGTTGGCGTAAGGTAGAACTTTCACTTCCTTTCATTCCAGTTGAAAGCGGTAAGCCCTAAAATTACCTTATCAAAGGCGCCTTCGCTGACCCTAATTGTTCATCTGCTTAATGCTTAGCGTATAATGGGAAAATTGAAGAGATGAGCGCATAGCTGTATTAAATAATTAGCCGCATAGCTAATTATTTTTTTCACTTCTTCAATCTTCTTGTTCTCTGCACTGCAAGCCTTTTGCTAAGTTGTTCGCCATATTGCTTTTCCAATTTACATAC